TTTTTTTTATTTATACATACAGAACTGGGGTACAAGCCAGAAGTGCAGGGCAGTGAGATGATTCAACAGAGACAGAGTGGGGAGCAGAATAGGCAGATTGTAGAAGTACACTGCTGAGGGGAGCAGTGGGCGTGTCAGGAGAGGCCATATGGACCACCTCCGAGGCAGGCGGGGATCGAACTCATGCTGCAGTGACTTTAGCTTCTTAGTGCTGTGCTTTAACTTGCTGCGCCACCAGGGAGAGCCCGAACATACTCCTTTTTAATGTGCAGGAGGCGAACGATTTTTCAAGGAGGTTTTTGTTTACTAGGTTTTTTTTTTTTATAGAAAAGTTAGTCCTAATTACTGAAAGGCCTTTTAATTCTATCTCAACAGGTTTTACTGACTACATTTTTGTATATTCATTATTGTGAAGTTGTTTTGAAAGCATTGTTTTAATTGTGATCTTTTTACTTCCAGTTTATTCCAATGCCTGTTCTGTATGGTGTTTTCCTTTACATGGGAGTTTCCTCATTAAAAGGAATTCAGGCAAGTCTTAAGCATTTACTGACTTTGTACAGTAACTAGCATTAAATTAAATTAAATTTGTAAAGATTGCTTTTATAATGGTTGTGATTTTTTTTTCCTCAACTGATGTTTTCAGGGCAGGTTAGTTTCTAACCGGGTGACTTCATGCAGAACCGCACTTTTTAAGTGACTACTGCTCACTTCACATACCCCCCCCAAAATGAGCTGAGCTCTCACTGTATTTCTGCTTAAATCTCTGTAACTACCATTAAAGATTAATAGCACACCAGAAGGATTGGGATGGGAAAGTACTGTTTCTGATACATAGAACAGCAGTTTCATTTCTTATAAGAAAAGGTAGGTATTTACTTTTCTACAAAAACTGTGAAGTCTTTCATACAATACAGTTTATAAAAGCTACTATGTCTGTCACTTACTGTGATCCTCTCAACATTGGGAAGTGGGGAAGGAAGAAATGTTAATTTTTTGTTAGTCAGGGAAACATGCAGAAGTCCTCAGTGTAGGATCATCACTCACTGAGCAGCAGTCAGGACTGGAGCCCTGTGATTACCTTGCTCTGTGTTGCTTTATTTGTAACACTTCCTGGAAAATAACCTGGTAAAGTGTGTCAAGGTTTGTAGAGTTCAGTCTTAGTAGAAAGCATGCAGGAGGTGAAGTGTCGTGTCCCCACCCAGCTGCCTCCTGGGGGTGGAAGTTGTCTGGGAGCTGTTGCCCCTGGTGGCGCATCTGTCCGACTCTTCTCTCTCTCTTTTTTTTTTTTTTTAAAGATTAATTTATTTGTGCTTACAGAACTGGGGTACAAGCCAGAGACTCAAGGGTGGTGAAAGACTTCATCAGAAAGTGGGGAGCAGAACAGGCAGATAGACTGAAATACATTGCTGAGGGGAGCAGCGGGCGGGTCAGGACAGGTCTGCCACGCCATGTGGTCACCTCCGGGGCAGGCAGGAATCGAACTCATGTGGAAGTGGTTTCAGTTTCTTAGTGCAGTGCTTTAACCCGCTGCGCCACCAGGGAGGGCCGACTCTTCTCTTTTTTAACGTGATGCAGGACTTACTCTGCTGCTCAAGACATGATTCTTCATTTCACTTGTTTAACAATAATTTGTGAGATGGGTAAGGTTGATTTCAATCCCAGTTTATAAATGAGGGAATTAAATCTCAAAAAGTTCAAGGAACTTTTGCGATGAGTGAAATCCTGTTCAATGAGTGAAAAAATTGGTATTGTTTACCTCAGTTTATTTTCATAAGATTGCTACGTCGGGCTTGGGAAACCATTCAGGTTGTTGTCTTTTTTTTTTTTAAAGATTTTGTTTATGCATACAGGACAACTGGGGTACAGGCCAGCAGTGTGTGTGACAAGGGGGTTGGGGGATGGGGTGTAGTCTCAGAGATCACACAGAGACAGAGAAGGGAACAGAACAGGCAGATGGACTGAAATATAACACTGCTGAGGGGAGCAGTGGATGGGTCGGGAAAGGTCTGCTGCGCCATGTGGGTCAGCTCCCTAGCCTGGGGTTGAACTCGTGCTGCAGTGGCTGCAGATAGCTTCATAGTGCTGTGCTTTAACTTGTTGTGCCACAAGGGAGGGCCCTGTTGCTCTTTTGTTATTAGTCCTAGTTCAAAGAGATTAAATGGCACATTAAATAGTTTTACCTCTCCCCCCCACCGACAATTAAAATATTTGGCTTGAATTTTTTGTTAAATTCATTGCACTACTTCGTATGATTATTTTTTTCCTTCCTTGGATCCAAAAATCCTAATCGACACATTCTCAGAATATACCTTGAAGAAGTTATAGTTTAACTTACAAAACCCTAACATTGAATATAACTTCTTTTCTTATATGAGAGAAATAATATTTTTCTTAAATTCGTCTTCTGTTTTGTTCTCTATTTGATAGCTTTTTGATCGGATAAAATTATTCGGAATGCCTGCTAAGCACCAGCCTGACTTGATATACCTGCGTTATGTGCCTCTCTGGAAAGTTCACATTTTTACAGTCATTCAGCTCACTTGTCTGGTTCTTCTGTGGGTGATAAAAGCATCAGCTGCTGCAGTAGTTTTTCCCATGATGGTAAGTTTGCTTTTCTTCCCACAGCTATTGTCACTTATTAATCACATTTTTCTGTGTTTTAATAGCAATTATTTTGTTGGTATTTATACTGGATTTTGAGAAAAGAATTTGACAATGTCAGTTAACTCTTTAGCTATTTAAATAATTTTGAAACCAATTTTGCTTGTCATTTCCAAATTTTGGTTTCATTTTTTTTTTTT